CTTCCCCCTTCCCCCCCTCTCCATAACAGAGAGAACGAGATCCGCATCGACATGACCATCACTCCCATCGAGGAGACGTACGCCTTGCTCAACAAGTACAACATTTTCTTCAATGACGGTAACGCCGAGAGGGTGGATTCACTTTCTTACGGTTGGAAGAAAGTCTCTGCTCAGGTACATAGTTTGTACATTTTTACGTTTATTGAGCCTGTTGACTAATCGCACAATACATTACAGAGTTTGTTTTTTTAAATTCTTGAAGTATGTTTGTGTGTGCTGTTTCTTTTAATTGACAGTGTTATCATTTTAGCAAGATTTAGACTGAGATTTAAAACAATGCACTGAGACTACTAGCAATGTTTTCTATATCAATTTTGTGTGTGCATAATACTGAAATGCATTAAACAGCACGCGTGGATGCGTAGCTTATAGTTTGACTTACTTCTACGAGAGACACGAAAATGGTTGCACTAAGGAAAAATAAGAGATTGTATGAAGCAACTTTGGCCACAATTTTTTTAAATTTTTGGCCCATTTTTTTCATTAAACATTTTGATCCATTGCACTAATAATGTGAATTTACATATACATTAAAAATTGTCACATTTCCTTGCGTTGGTAGATTATTGAAATGTTACGCATATTTTTTTTACACCAATCTATAGATTCCGTCTTCAGCAGTCAGTAAAAAAGAAATCATGTTGACTTACAGACGATAATGCGAGCTCATAGCTTAATCTGTTATGTAAACAGATCTTAATTCGAGCATACTGATTTTTCTCAGCAGAAGTTTGTCTATAAAGCTTTCATTCTTAGACGTTTGCATCCAAATCCTTAACCCATTTGTCTAACGCTGTCTTCCTTCCCATTTGTTCTCCAAGTTACTTCCTTGTGCCCCCCACCCTCCTCCGCAACCCTGCCCCAACCCCAGCCCCATCTTTATTTCCTGTTACCTATGAGTTTGACACCGTGTGATGTGCTTGCAACACCCCAATACCCTGTGTGCCTTTTCTTTTTTTCTCTCTCCGAGATCTCTGTATATATTTACCCATTTTTACTTTATATATCGGGAGGCACTTTAACACATGGATATATAGTGAGGTACTTCGATTTTTACCCGAGAAAATCAGTCATTTTTTTACTTCAACATTCTTATCACGTTTTAAATTTTACGGCTAAATTGAATCCCTCACTTTCTGTTATAGTGCCTGGAAAAAAGAACTAAGCAGACTGTTGTAAACTATTTTTCTACCTCACGTTATTGTTGCTCAAGTTGTGGACTAACTTTTAATGTATCGTCAATATATGTTTGAAAGGTGCATGAACACTAACTATGTACATGGATATCCTATCGTTAAACTTTTCAGCAGTTTTCTTTTTGACGCCCCGCCCCCCCCCCCCCCTACAACTTCGCTCCTATTTTCATTTGTGAAATTCATATCGTTCATTGTTGAAATGTATCACAAGCTGTATTAGTATTGAGGTCCATTACGTCATATCACCATTCAACCGGGTTTCACAGCCCTGCACAACTAGACAGTTAGGCTATTTTTAGTCCCAGAAAACGTGACTTTGATTCTTACTTGTGGAATTCATTCAAATGAATTATTCCACCTTTGTTGTGTGACACTGTATCCCATCCTTTGTCTTGTCAAAGCAAACCACCGCCCAGTTAACCTAAATTAAGTCAATTAAAACGTAAAAAATAATAGGGAATTGCCCTCTCCGATAAGGTAATTGTATTTCAAATAGTATCTCTCTGCAAGATTGAAAGCGTGAAGGTTACCATGAGGAAACAAGATGAATTGTGAGGCATCGTGGTGGAATCAGGCTCTCGTCAATTTTTGGTCATGTAGAGTTATTGGTATCATCATAAAGCTTATTCACTTGTCTTTATTTTGATGAAAAAAATATCCATTTATCTTGAGTACAAGTCGAGATATTTGCGATAAAAGGAGGAAGGCGTCACCTGTTTTCAGAGGTAAAATTAGTGAGAAAATGGCCGCCAAAGTTTAGTTATTTCCTTAGCTTAAGAGTCCGTGGTAACTGAAAATTTACATTTTTGTGCATTTAATCGACGCTTTTCTGAAAAATCAACACAGAAATGAGTTCTTTAATGGGCATGAAAGGTGTTGAGCCCAAAAACAAAAATCTGATAAAAATTCACAAACCTGAGGAAAAATGCAAGTTTCTTCACTTTGATTATTTTGACGAGAGCCTGATTTCACCACGCTGCCTCACAATTATATTTCGTGGATAAGAATGTTGTTTTTCAAGCAACACGTCATCTTAATCCTCCCCCCCCCCCCTCAATTCCACTTCTAAGGAATATTCTCCTCTGCAGATGAATTGGTCATCAACGGATATTTTCGGACAAACTTCTTCTTCTTCTTCTTCTTCTTCTTCTTCTTCTTCTTCTTCTTCTTCTTCTTCTTCTTCTTCTTCTTCTTCTTCTTCTTCTTCTTCTTCTTCTTCTTCTTCTTCTTCTTCTTCTTCTTCTTCTTCTTCTTCTTCTTCTTCTTCTTCTTCTTCTTCTTCTTCTTTTTCTTCTTCTTCTTCTTCTTCTTCTTCTTCTTCTTCTTCTTCTTCTTCTTCTTCTTCTTCTTCTTCTTCTTCTTCTTCTTCTTCTTCTTCTTCTTCTTCTTCTTCTTCTTCTTCTAGTTATAATAATTATTTTTATTCTTATTATAATGACTATTATTATTATTATTATTATCATTATTATTATTATTATTATTATTATTATTATTATTATTATTATTACTATTATTATTATATTATTATTATGATTATTATGATTATGATTATTATTCAAGTACGTAACGAGTTGTTTTGTCCACTCATGAAACTCTGCACTATGATACTTAGGTCTGTGGAACAGGGAAAGTATCCACGACGAGGTAACTCCACATTTCTCCTTCGAGGGCCAGCCTAACAGATACACAGTATCTGAGGGCATATACTTATCCCTCGGGCTTAGATAAACTTATGGAAGCTAGTGGGATTGTTCTGTTTCGTAATTTCTCATTATAACCTTTCGCATTGAATTTATTTTTGCACTTTTTTTTTTTCAAAATGTCACCTCGAATGCCCATAACATTTCTCATCACTATGCTGCTTTTTGTTAACTGTAGTGAGTTCTAGATCTCTTTTAGCTGCCTCACACATTTGCTCTTTACAACCCCCCCCCCCAAAAAAAAATCCAACACAACAAGAACAACAAGAACAACAAGAACAACAAGAACAACAACAAAAACAACCAAAACGCAGAAAGTCGAACCACAAACATTTGCAGGTTTTTCCCATTAGAGATGAATTCTATCTTGGCTATTTGAATAGTCGGGCTCCGGAATATCTTTAGAGTGAACTTGTCAGTCTAACATAATATGGTTTCAAAAACTATTTACTACAAATCCACCTAAAGTGCACTCTGCAATTTCTGCAAGATTCATCGCTCATTGCACGAACCTGGAAATCTTCTAGGTTTATATTTTTGTTTTTCTCATCACAATATCATTTTATGTTTTCAGTTATATAATAATATTGAGTTGTAGGTTAATACGACATTAACTTGGATCACTTCTATCTGTAGCAAAGATTGCTTATTGCAAATGAGTTGCTTCTCCACTTAATTTCCGTAAAAGACGTAATCTAAAAGCACAAATGGTGATATCTACACCAAACTCTCTGATCTGTACTATTTTAAGTTTGATACTATAAATTATTTAGTGATCAGTATGTCTTGTATACAGCGTTTAGCAGCAAAAATTGTTACTAAAGCTCCTCATTTTGAGAAACGAAACCTAACTCCATTATTGACGACGTTCTCGTCATCTGAAGCATCACACGTGGATTAACAAAGACGTTTTTAAAACAAGAAAGTAAACCATCACGTGACGTACAATTTTTGCTTGTAGTTAGATTTGCTAATGCCTAAACATTTATTCACGTTGTTTAAAAAAACAAACCCGTAAGACCCATCACCAACCAATAGCAATATATGCTTCCTTCACACATTTCTGTCATTGTGTATCATAGTTATCCGTCTCGACACCGTCTTTCGCACGATTATAATGTATTGTTTAGATTTGTCCCCTCTCTGGCTGTTAGAAAAAGCCTGATATCGCTGAAATGTTCCTATTCTTTGAATGTTTAGACAACACTTTTCTTTTTACTTGTACACTAAACACCGCCAAGAGCTTCTGTGGCTTCACTACATTGATTAGCTATTGTCTCCCCCCCCTCCCCCCTTAAAATGTCCCTTCCCCACTTCGCCGCCTTCATAAGTTTAAAAGCGCTGTCCTGTGGATAAGCAATCTGCACATTCTTTTTAAAACATGCATTTTGTAAGTTATGTTAATTGGTACCTTAGTACTGACTCCAATACAATGATAGTTGTAGATATTAGATTACATCATTAGGTATCAGCACGTTGATGTTAGAACATAGTTGCAGAAGGCATTTTTATGGACATCGAACATTTGTATCATGAAGCATACGCAAGAATTAAGAATAACTTCTAAAGAGAAGCTCACATAAGAGGTAAACGTTTTTGTTTATTATTATTACTAATTTGAGGACGAATTGCTTTTATCATGATCTGATTATGTTATGTTTCTAGGGCACATGCTGCTTCCCCAATATTCCTGTATTATTGTTAAAAAACATCTTTCAATTTACAGAAGAAATGCAAACATTAAGGGAGAATAAGCCATTTGAAAGGATTGTTGTGTATTGAACGCCCCAAGTACACATGAAACGTCTTATTTCGTATATGAAGCACTTGAGCCACCAGGGAGTGGGTGCTATAGAAGTGATCAGTACCTTTATGATTATGGTCATCTACTAAGACAGGCAGATTTTGTATTAATTTTGTTGTACCCTTGCTCTCCACAGTCCACTTCCATTCAGGAGCGTCTCCTGCAGATCCAGCCGGACTTCAAAGCCGACCTGTTGGTGGGAGTTGAGCAGTTCATTCTGGATAACAACGAATTTGTCTCTTCCTACGACACATCGTAAGTCATAGTCTCTGCTTTTAACACATCGCTTTTTTTTCTTTTGGTAAGTGTTTTTACGGCGCTCGCAACTGCATAAGGTCATATGAGCGCGCGGGACACACCTAATACTTTTAGTTAGTAGGACATTTTGAATTTTGCCCGGGTGGCGGCCGAAGCCTACTCTTATCGATTTTAGACCACCAAGGGATCTTTAACGTGCGCAACTTGCACACAGGCCCTCCGAGATTTTTCGCCCTTGTCCGAGAAGGCTAGGTGTAGATCTTTCCTACCAGAAGATCAGGGGTGTGGCAGAAAGACACTGTAAGAAGGAGTCAAGGAGTAGCAGTAGAAAGGCTGCAGAAAGAGTCAGGAGCCCAGAGGAGGGGGCAAAGGAGGTGAGGGGGTGGGGGCAGAAAGAGGAGACGAAAGCAGACGACAGAATAGTGCCAGAGAGCAGGAAGGAGGTGAAAGGAGACAATTTTAGAGAAGAAAATTTTCGGTCGCTACCCGGATTCGAACCCGGGACCTTTGAATGAGAGGCCAACACCTTAACCTCTAGGCCACGGGAGCCCCCACACATCGCTAGTGTTCGTAATTTCCTATAACACATTATAAGTCCTAGTCTCTCTTTATAGCACATCGTAAATGCTTATTTCCTAAGACAAATCGTAACTCCTAGTCTCTTCTTTTGACACATTGTAAATGCTTGTTATTTCATATAACACCTTGTAAGTCCTACTCTCTCTTTATGGCACATAGTAAGTGCTTGTTACTATTTTCCTATGACACCATGATGAAAATGGCGGACACACCATGTAAACGCTACGTCCTTAAATAGTTAACCAATATCGTAATTTCCAAACCCCAGGGGTCCGATGGAAGACGGCATTTCCCCTCGCGAGGCATCGGACCGGCTCAACATCTACCAGGCTCGTTTCGACGAGCTGTACAGGAAGTACGTCACGTACTCGGGCGGTGAGGAGCTGTTCGGCCTGACCGTCACCGAGTACCCGGATTTGATGCGCATAAAAAAGGAACTGAACCTGCTGCAGAAGCTCTACCAACTGTACAACGCCGTCCTGGAGAATGTCAACGGCTACTACGACATACCCTGGTCCGACATCGACATTGAGAAGATCAACTCCGAGCTCCTTGAGTTCCAGAACAGGTACTAGTTTGAGTGTTAGTTAGAGTTTTACTGCACTTGATACACAGATATGTTATCAGATAGCAGGTTATAAGAGAGCCGAAGATAAGCATAATAACATACGAAGAATAAAAGGAGAGAAAAGGTTGATAGATATTTGGTAGGGAAGAAGGAGCAAACCACACTAGAGAACCCGCCAACGGCCAAAAGAACAGGTACAGGCGGGGGACTGTTGACGATCGGCCAAGGAACGCTTGTACTTTTGTTACGGTTTTATTTTGCATTGAAGGATATCTGTGTGATGTTGTGCAAGTAAAACAAATAGCGCACAAAGACCTATTAGTGTACCAAATACTAAATTAAAAAGCACAGGTAAGATTAGAATTACAATGGATTCAATGATCTATTTTAATTATCAGGTGCTGGACCTAACCGTTTTCTATTTGTTGGTCTGCATTGCTTTTTATGTGCTGGAAAAAAAAGCAATGTTTGTTGTATTGATTTCTTTCTTCGTAACTCACAAGAATAAAAAAATACAGACAAACACAAATAAACAAGCAAACAAGCAGATGAAAACTCTTCTGACCATTCAACAACTAAACAAACCCTTTGTTTTCCGCATCAAGATGCCGAAAGCTGCCCAAGGCCCTGAAAGAGTGGCAAGCATACGAGGATCTGAGGAAAACCATTGATGACTTCAACGAGACCTGTCCTCTCCTCGAGATGATGGCCAACAAGGCAATGCAACAGCGTCATTGGGAGAGGATTGCTCAAATCACTGGCCACAGTTTTGACGTGGAGTCTGAGGGCTTCCTGCTCAGAGATCTCATGAAGGCGCCTCTGCTGCAGTACAAGGAGGATATTGAGGTGAGGGACGGAGTTAAATGGGGATAAAGAGAAGAAGGGAGGGAGAAAGGGAGAGAGAGTGGGAGAGAGATACAGTGAGAGAGAGAGAGAGAGAGAGAGAGAGAGAGAGAGAGAGAGTGTGTGTGTGTGTGTGTGTGTGTGTGTGTGTGTGTGAGAGAGAGAGTGAAAGAGAGAGTGAGAGAGATAGAGAGAGAGAGAGAGAGAGAGAGAGAGAGAGAAGAGAGAGAGACAGAGACAGAGAAAGAGACAGATAGAGGGAGAGAGAGAGAGAGAGAGAGAGAGAGAGAGAGAGAGAGAGAGAGAGAGAGGGCGTACGACTATGTTGATGAGTGTGGATAAGAGATTGGGTTACAAATTTATGGGAGTGGCAACGCGGGCCGGGTACACTGTATGGTGTGTAATATTTTAATCCCATAATATACACGCATCACAGACACATAAGAACGTCAGTCTTATGTGCAAAAAAAAATAAAAAATGTATATTTACTTTGTCTCCCTTAATTAATCCATATCTTAAAATTCTCACCCCCCCCCCCCAGACTCGTTTGCGATGAATGAGTACACGGGAGTTGACGTGAAATAATTTCTGAGTTCTTTTAATTTTCTCTTATGCTCCACGCCGCAGATGACGATAAAACTAGGATAAATCTTTTTCTTTCATTTTCATTATTAAAATAATTCATTGTTTTCTCATACCCGTCATATCCCAGGACGTATGTATCTCAGCCGTCAAAGAAAAGGACATCGAGGCGAAGCTGAAGCAGGTGGTCAACGACTGGAGCGCCCAGACCTTCCAGTTTGGAAATTTCAAGACCCGAGGGGAGCTGCTACTCAAAGGTTAGAAACTCTTTTTACTTCGGTTCAGGTTATCCACATTCGACATTCGACGTTGTGTCGCTCCACACGAATTCTTTCTTCTTCCTGTTATCCAAATGGCTCGTCTTTTCTTCCTTCTTCCTGCTATCAAAATAGGCGCGCCTTTTCTTCCTTCTTTCTCAATGCAGCCGCTCAAAGGTTAGAAACCATTTTCATTTCGGTTTAGGTTTTTTTCAATGTCGCATTCTTCCTTCCTTCTTCCTTCTTTGACACAATCTGCGGGCCATGCTCACTGCTGAAATAGTTGATTTATGTCGTGAAATAAGGCTTTAAACACTCAGATAAAAGCCAACGCACCCGTTCTCAAGATTGATATTTATAACATCTCCAGTATATCACTGTACTTGCTTTTGCTTATTATTTCATCTTGCATCGTTACGTGTTCAGGGAAAGTGCGATTATTTTATAAGAGCTAAGAGGGTGGCCTTTAATTTAGGTACGGTACGTTATCACGCCGAAGTGCCCATTTAGCGCCATCAAGTCAATTTTTGTGTGGTCTACCTCTGTCAGTGTAGCTTGATTGTCTTTCGTTGTATGCTCATGCAACTGGTAGGGAAAAGGAGGGGGGGGGGGGGGGGAAGGCATTCTCATTAGGTTACCGAACCACGAAATTTTTCGATGTTCAATGTACTCTGTGACTTGTTTGATCTTTGTTAATGTATTGACAGTTTTGTTTCTTATGTCGTCTTTCCAATGCACGGTTGATCCTTATACTAGGGCTAATAGGACATCGCTTGTACCCAGTTGCTGATTGAACTGGTTCATGTTTCTTCCTTACCTTGTTTCTCAGGTGACTCCACCTCCGAGACAGTGGCTCTTATGGAAGACAGCTTGATGGTTCTGGGTTCACTGCTCAGCAACAGGTATGTTTCCATCTCCTTCTCCTCCTCTCCCCCCTTCCTCCTCCTCCTGCTACTCCTTCTCCTCCGGTTCATTTTTTCTTGTTGCTGTTGATGCTGCTGCTGTGGCTGTTGTTATGGTCGTTATTATTTTGTTGTTGTTGTTGTTGTTGTTGTTGTTGTTGTTGTTGTTGTTGTTGTTGTTGTTGTTGTTGTTCTTCTTCTTCTTCTTCTTCTTCTTCTTCTTCTTCTTCTTCTTCTTCTTCTTCTCTTAATTGTTGCCATGTCCCTGAGATAGCTGGCTGTGTGTTGTTCAATTCACAGTGTAGTTGTTTTGTATGTATATGCTATTAAACATATTGCTTCGATTTCAAATATTCCTATATTCTTTGCAAAGTTCAAAACATCCTATTTTAATAGATATCTTTCCCTACTCTTGACTGACTCCCAAGGGACAAATCTATCCTTCCCACCCATCGTAAATGTGTTTTCTTTTTTGGTTTGAAAGCTCTTTTCGACCGATTTGAGGGTATTTTTCCTCTTCTTTTGTTTGCCCTTCGGATAACATTCTAAAATACCATGCAGCTGACACTGGTTCAATTCCCCAATGGAGGCGTTTTTGAACTTGGATTAATTTTGACGTCCCCCCCCCCCCCCCTCTTCGTTGTCATATCGGAGATAGGCGTTTGATAAATAGGTTCCCGTCTCTTGAACTATTCCCTACAAACGTGAAACCATGCACTACTTGCTTTTCAGATACAACGCCCCCTTTAAACCCAAGATCCAAGAATGGGTGCAGAAACTGACAGGTACCACAGAGATCATTGAGAACTGGCTCATTGTACAGAACCTCTGGATCTACCTGGAGGCTGTCTTTGTGGGCGGAGATATTGCCAAGCAGTTGCCACAGGTAGACACTCGGAAGCGACGTATCATAAGAAAAATCCCAGAAAAGTCCAGTAGAGTAGTCTCTTTTAAAATAATAATGTAGAACAAAAGAATCAATAGGGAATATTAATATAAGGATAATTTTAAACCACCCCTTTGCTTATAGCAATGCAGCCTCGCAGCGCCATGTTCTATTTTTTTTTAAAATGGGGAGTCAACATGTGTTGTCTAAGGACACACACCAGCAACCTTTGACCTAAAAGTTGTCACACTGACTTTCTTTCTCTGAAGCTGTGTGCTCCTTATCCACTTAACCACAGTGGTTGTAGAAGGTTTTGGTTCAATATCAGAGGGAACATTTTAAGCTTAGCCTGGCATATTATTAGTTTTACAAGGCGTACAAGACCGTAAAGCTTAAAACTGGGGGTTTCAGGAAACAAGCCCGCAGAATCATTGAGAAGTTTGAATGTCTATAATATGACATTAGGGAAACTGCATGGTATCTCAGCTTGATACAGGTAGTTGTGTATTGTTCTATTTAACATTTACAGAATACTTCGTCATGGTTTCTACGCCATCATTTTTTTTTTTACATTATTGTGTCTTTCAGGAGTTCTGACAAATTCGTTGTTGATGTGTTGTAGATTGTACTAACAGCTAACAATTTAACAGTTTCCTTTTTCTTGATATAATCGTTTTTGAGCTTTCTTCTTCGATACTTCAGGAATACAGAAACAGAACATTATCTCAACAACAGATCGTGATCAACCACATATATCTTGATTGTTACTACCACCATTATATCATTAAGTACATGGTCCATGGTCTCAAATGCCTTTGTACGAAATTTATCCTGTTTTTTTAAATCTCTGTGACAGTTCCTTCCATGGAAGACCCACTTAATACTATGATTCGAAGCACCCTTGCAAAAGTAATGTTTAAACTGATCGTAGTATCTGATTTGACATATTTGGGGCTTCTGTTCGTGACTCAATTTCTTAGATCTCGTGTCTTTTCTCCTTCGTATGTAACAAGGAATCGCTTACAGACCGGGCACCAGTCAATTGTTAAAGTATTATTTTTCAATGTATATTTTCATTCTAGACGGTAGACAAAGCACTGTTATAAATTACAACGTTACAATATGCTATGCTCTGTTTATTTGAATCTCCAATTCAGAGCATTTCTTCTGTTAAGTTTTATTTGGTAGTAAAACGGCAAAATTCATACAACTGTTCCTTTGATTTTTGACAAACAAGGACTTATGGATAAAGGTAGGTGTTTTTAGTTTTTTGCTCACCACAGCATAAACCTGGTCAATGCTCCACAAAAGCGACAGGTGTAAGGGTCTCACTACCTGCTGGGCTTCAGACCTGCTTCAATCAACCCGCTTGACATATTAGTTACCTAAAGTACTAAGTATTCAAAAGTGAAAATAGCATTTTGCTACGAGTTAAATAGAAATAAGCAGTACTCTGAATACAATTCATCTCCTGCATTGTGTTGCAAAATATAAGAAAGTTCTACAGCTCGCCAAAAGACATCGCTAATACAGCACCTAAACATAGATATCTGGTGCCTTTAGGAATAAAACATAAATGGTTTAAAAAACGCCCCAGGAAAAAAAGTATCAAGCAGGGCTGGGTTGTTTGAAGTTAGGAGAGTTCCGTGATAAAGGATTTACTAAGCGTTTTTGTTACTTTGGTAAGAATTATCCTTGCGTTGATGATAAGTTTTATTTCTGAATAAAAAACAGATTTATTTCTAAGATAAAAAGAAACATGCTCCAAAGCGTGATCCAGGTTTTATGACATTTAATCGTTAAGATATTGATATGTTTGCAAAATAAGGACAGTCAGTCTCTCTTGGTTTGAAATGAGAATGTTTCTTACTGTCCCATTAGCCATGGAGGAAGGTAGGCTCTACGTGGTTTCTGTAGTGCTCTTTTTGTGCTCTCATTGTTTTCTTTGTCTATAGGACTTTTGGAAAACAGGTGCTTCAATACGTGAAAATTTTACAAGAAATATGTTGATACCAGTGTGGGGATCAGGCAGGCTTTCATTTCACAGCGTGCTCTGAAAAGTAGACTTTACTCACTCGTAGGGTAGGCTCATAAATATCCTCATAACGCTTACCGGAGTCACCAGACGTTTATGGCTGCAGAGAATGAGTACACCATATATTATACACGATGTGTGTTGATGTTGAGGTATGCTTTTGAAAATGTATTGGACCAGACAAAAGGGCAGTATGAAAATGATCGTAATATCAACGAGATCACTTGTCATTGCTGTGTATCACTATAAATACATGACTGCATTCATAGCCCAGGGAAATGGCTTCGTTCCTCTTATCCCCACGATCTTGGTCCCTTCTCCCCTCCCCCCTCGGTGAATATCCCAACTGTCCAAGTATACTCTTGATGTCCTTAATATTGCTCTAATTTCCTGTGGTTTTATGTGGTCTCCATGCTTCAAGTGATCAAATGTTTTGGGTTCTTTGAGTCAGTAGCATTGTTTGTTTTTGTTTGCGGTTTTTTCATTCTATTCAAAAAGATGGAACGCACACGCCTGTGAATATAAAGATAATGGGAGGCGAAGGAAGTCAGACCTAACGCTGTTGTCCAGTTCATAGTTTGATAGGGCCTCGTTCAAACACGGACACACAGAAACGAGCGACATAATAAGTGGCATTATCATCATCATCATCATCATCATCATCATCATCATCATCATCATCATCATCATCTTCATCATCATCATCATCATCATCATCATCATCAACATCATCATCATCATCATCATCATCATCAGAGCTTCCCCACGTTGCCGAAGATGCAGCCATGAAAAGCAGGATGTTAAACATATGTTTGAATGTCCTTGAACAATGGCAATTCGAATGGAGTTATTTGAACGAGTGGAGGTGCCTCTTAGCATAATGACAATGGAGCCGAAAAAGAGCCTGGCTCTCGCTCGAAGATTTCTTCGTGGAGTCCACCAGGCCCATTAATGAAACGAAAAACAAATCATCATCATCATCACCTTCATTGATAACAAGACCAGCAGGAATAATAGCAACAGCAACAACAGCCTCAAACAGAACAGAACGGCAACAACAACGACAACGATATTGGGCACCATCAATAACAACTAGACCACATAAACAACTAGAGTGATGATAAACATTAGAGTGATGATAAACATAATAACTGCATCTACGAAAACAAGAACAAAAACAACCACCACCACCACCACCACCACCACCACCACAACAAAAACAACAACAACAACAACAACAACAACAACAACAACAACAGTGACTTTTTGTTTCTACACAGCTTTTTAAGCACAAAAGGATGCGGTGTAGCACTTGCACTCATATTTTCATTTTCATGTTATCGTGATGTGTACGTAAACTAAAAGTTTCTGATACCCTGTCTTGGGTACACGTCATCAGCCATACCACTACTGTCATGACATGTTCTTCAGAGTAAGTGCATTATTTATGTTCCTGTACTTGTGACCTGTGCTATATTTGGCTCTTCTCATTTTCACTCATGTTATACACGTGCTATCGTCTCGTTGCTCCCAATTTTGATAACGTACTTTCGTGGTCTCTAAGTTCATTTGAGCAGCGTCTGTGGTGTAGTGATTGGGCGCTTCGTGGTCGCACGCAGGAGACCCGAGTTAACTTCCCACGAGGGGAGATTTAGTAAAATCGAGTATATCGGTTTTTCTGCTGTGTAAATACGCCTACATTAAATAAAGGCAGTTCATTCTCACCGGTTCCCCATTTCGTTATGTCTCAATATTTATCTTGTTCCTTATTTCTACTCATACCATCGTCTTCGTCCTCTGCGCCATGTGCTGATGTGATTGTCCTCTTTCTGCTAATGGTGGTGGTTCCAGTGCGTCTTTTCCCTGCTCTTTCCACCTCGCAAAGCTTAAAAAGGAATATCTTCTCTGTGTTTGGTTCATATGTGAACGCGGACATAGTATGTCATCATTTGTAAAAGGTGATTTTCTTTTTAAAAGAAGGTACCATTTGTAGAAGTGGCATCGATTGCAAAAGGTGACCTCATAATTTGTAAAATATGATATCAGTAAAAAAATGTGACACTGTTTTGTGAAAGCTGCTATTCGAAATAAGGTTCAAGAGGTTAGATGGTATTTTTTTTTAAATCAGAAGAGTTACAAGCATGCCCAGCATGAAGAAACATACAATTACTCTTTGTATGTAGGCCTACATATATTAATATAATACAATATATTGGTGTCACTCTTCAGATATACTTTTAAACCTCTTGCTAGATCCTTACTGACGCTTAACAGTACTTTCTTGACAATGACACAAGTTATGCGGGCTTCAATTTCTCTTTTTCTCTTGAGGGTTGAGAAACGACTTATCATCTCCAAACACCGGAACACGTTTTGGATCATCAAAAAGACATCATACCGCTGACTAGCTTCCATTTTTCTGCTACCTCATAGCCTTAATATGCTCCCCCCTCCCAATCATGTGTCCAGCTTAAGATACAGAAACCAACAACCCAAGCAACTAAGCAACCAACCTACCCACTTACCCAAACACAGAAGGCTTTACTAACCTAGTCATTTACCTAATACTAACTACGTCTTGCCAGTCTACTAACTCTATGATTTACACATTTATTTTTGAAGAGAATATTTGCAAGCGTAACTTCCTTTCACTCACCTTTATTGTAAACATTCCTCATGAGACAGCGAAAACAGGGGCTAAATTGAAAACAATCCGAAAACTTTGAGGCACCGATGTCATACTTGGCTTGTTATTCGAATCTTTCTCATTATATCATTTCTTAACTCTGTTTTATGATGCTTCAACAGTTTCGTTTAGCGGATTATGGACACAGCCCCTGTTTTCATCATTTATTACAATAAGATCAGCTATTCACGCCCACCTCTTTTTCTCTCCCCCCCCCCTCCTCCCCCTTCATCGTCGTCGTCGTTGTGACGTCATCTGTCCTCTAGGAAGCCAAACGTTTCAGCAACATCGACAAGTCGTGGCAGAAGATCATGCAGCGGGCGCACGAGAACCCCAACGTGGTGACGTGTTGTGTCGGTGACGACACCTTGAGCCAGCTGCTTCCTCATCTGCTGGAGCAACTTGAGATTTGCCAGAAGTCGCTCACGGGATACCTGGAGAAGAAGCGACTTCTTTTCCCCAGATTCTTTTTCGTGTCTGACCCCGCTCTGCTGGAGATCCTGGGTCAGGCCAGTGACTCGCACACTATTCAGGTATGAGCTGTCTGTCTGTTTCTCTGTTTGTTACTGTTTCTCTCACCCCCCCCCCTTCTCTTCCTGTCCTTTTATATCTCTCACTTTCCATCATTTGGTCTCCAGGTATCTCATTTTGTCTTCCTCTCTTTCTCACCATCCCCTTATCTCTTAGTATCAACTTGTCTCGCCCCCCCCCCCTTTAGCTCTATCTCCACTTCCTCCTCTCTGTCTTTCACCCAGTCTGTGTCTCTCTCTTCGCCGGTCTCTCTCCCTCCTCATCGCTGTCTCTCCCTCCTTCTCTATCCATGTCACTTCTCTTATGTCTCTTGGTCTCTCCCTCCTCCCCCGCTAACCTCAACCTAAAAAGAGGCATGACGAAATGCAAAATTCCCATCCTCTCTCCAGCAAGAAAAAAACAAACTATCTCGACGCAAGTAAACTCGTCGCGCCCCCCCCCCCCCTTTTTCAAAGCTGTTTTTCCAACAGTACCATCCAATGGCTTATTATCTTGAAATAGATTTTGAGTGCAATATGGTCACACTGAGTTTAATCTAGGTAACTTCAGAGATACATCCTATCTAATACCCCAGCCCACCCCCTACCCGCTCCACATGTTAGAACGATTTATATTCAGGTCTCTCAACCCTAACAGAATGGGACGATTCTGACAGAATATAGACAATTATTCGAAAAAGAATTTGTAACATTCTAAGTGGACAAGTTTAGCGTGTTTAACTGAATGTTATTTATATTCCACAGAATCACCTGTTGAGTGTGTTTGATAACACCCGCCTGGTCACATTTGACGAGAAAGTTTATGACAAAATCTTGGCCATCAACTCCCAAGAGGGCGAGAAAGTGGATCTGGACGAGGCTGTTAATGCACAGGTCAGTTCACGGGGCTAGTCTGGAAGGGTGAAATAGGTCTCTAGCAACAGAGATAGGTCATAAAAGTCCTGAAGATTAGAGGTGTTATTTGAGAGTAACGGAGGAGAGATAAGGACAATAGATGTTTGATTGGAAAGAATGAAAAAACCACACCAGATCATCTGCCAACCACTCACATGTTTCTAGTTTCTTTATAGCTTGAGTCATGCATGTGACAAAGACGCAATCTTCAGAAAAAGACTTTTGCCCCTAGATTCACTCATCTAAAGTCGAAAGTCTGAAAGGTGCCATTCATTAATGTATGGTCCCCCGAGGATAAAAAAAATACATGTTTCAAGTTTCCTTCAAATTTGATTTATGTATGTTACAAAGGTATGTTCCTCACAGAAAGAGATACCCCTCTAGATTCATTTCTATAAATCTGAAAGTAACTATTGATTAATAAGAGATCTTCCAAGAAAAAAATAGGCCACTATGTCCTTTGATTTCCAGTGACAGGTTCTTCGTTTGGACAGAGAAAACTACGTATCTAGGTGCATTTTGTCTACAACTTTCCTGTCACAAATTATGTGTAGCTGGGAGAGGAAGAAAAAATATATCTCGAGGTACCTTCATGTTTTGACTCCTGCCGGTGTAAAGGACATTTACAAGCATGCATGTTCTGACATTGTGGCGATCAGGAATGGGATGTTTGTGAAATTGTTCTGCAATGATGTAGTGCTGCTGTGCATTGATATTCTTTGAAATTATGTGTTTGATTATGTATTCAAGTATGTAAGTTTGCCACTGTAACCCAAATTTTCCGACAATGAAGACAACTTTATTAATTTATTTAATTAATTTTTTTCTCCTACGTTTGATTTCTCTTCTAGGGCAACGTGGAGACGTGGCTGGGAGATCTTCTGCGTGTGGGTCGTCGTTCCATGCACAGCATCATCCGTATGGCCGCCATTGCTATTGGGGACCAAGGATTCAATCTGCTGGAGTTTGAAAACACATTCCCCTCACAGGTAATCTTACTTTACTCTTTTCTTTTGCTGGTACCAGTGGGTGTTTTGGGGGAGAAGCAATAGTCTGTCAGCTGCCTGTCGAGTGGCTTGGAGAAGGGTTAGGCTGTCAGGTTGTCCCTAACAGAATCAAACCAGCAACGTCTTGGGCAGACCTCGGGTTGTTTTATGGAGTCATAACTATACAAATGACATTTATATAGCGCTCAACCCCAATTAAAGTACACAGACTCTGAGCTCTGAGTCGTCCAAGGCTCTTTACCCACTCGCCTTGGTTTTATTGGATATGGACGTTAAATTCAGAGGTCACACATCTTGAATATCCTAGTTGTGTTAAAAGGGGAGTAAAGTATCTACACTTACTAACCAAAGATATAGGCCATACCAACAACAACTTGTACCCACCCACTTTCATGTTCTGAATTAATGGCGTTCCTTTCTTCCAGGTGGGCCTTTTGGGTATTCAGATGATCTGGACCAGGGACTCCGAAGAGGCCCTGAACAACGCCAGGACCGACAAGAAGATCATGGCCAACACCAACCAGAAGTTCCTGGAGATGCTCAACATGTTGATTGACCAGACCACCAGAGACCTGACCAAGATGGAGAGAACAAAGTTCGAGACTCTCATTACCATCCACGTGCATCAGAAAGACATCTTTGATGATCTGGTCAGTTTGTCTCCGGAATTGAAAATGAAAACTAAAAGTTATAAAAAGACAAATTGTATCCTTTGAAAATGAAAACTAAAAGTAATAAAAAGACAAATTGTATTCATCTTCGTATAATAATAGTAATAATGATGATGATGATGATGATGATGATGATGATAAAGATGATGAATGATGGTGATGATGCTGATGATAGAATCAAGTAACCCAAATCAATGTATTTTTAATGGCTTTAGAACGGGGATGATTTATTATCTCGTCTTCTAAAGCAATTACTTATCACGGATAAGATTTTTGAATTCTTCATCGTTAAAAACGAGCCCAAAACAGAGAGGGGGAGAATTATTGCTCTTTGAAGTTGTAAAACGATTATTATCAGTTGGACGTCAAGCAAGAAAAAGTTGTAAGAAGTGACGCCCAATTCTTTTCTTTTATTAAAAAAAAACAACAAAAAAAAGATGTTGGCAGCATTCACACATCTTTCTGGTTGATATTTAATTCTCAGGTCCGCTTCCACGTGAAGTCGGTGAATGACTTCGAGTGGCTGAAGCAGTCTCGCTTCTACTACAAAGAGGACCTAGACGCCTGCATCATTTCCATCACGGACGTGGATTTCACCTACATGATGGAGTTCCTGGGTTGTACCGACCGCCTCGTCATCACACCTCTCACTGACAGGTACTGAGAGTTATTTAGATCATAATATGTTAACAATTTTATTTTTAGATTAAAACCCTTTCTACACCCTCATCCTCACAAAATTAGATCACTTAATTAGGAGATGGGTTTCCGATCCTGCCTGCGAGGGTCACTCCGGCTGAGAGGGATAAAACGTCTCGGCAGAAAGACCGAGGTACTAAACAAAAGTACTCCTAAAAGCCTCCTAAATGATTTAAATTGAGTCGATGGGGGCGTAAAATCACATACATTAAAAAAAAGACACAGTTGCTCTTCAATGCCTCACAAACACGTAGTTTTGTCCCATACCTCATAAACGCACCGTTTTGCCCCATATCTCACAAACACAAAGTTGTATCAATACCTCGCAAAACACAGTTGTGTCCCATACCTAATAAAGACCCAGTTAGTTGTTGTTTTATACCTCACAAAGACAACCTTTTCTGTCGCATTACTCACAAAGGCGCCCTTTGGTGTCCCATAACTGACAAAGACAACCTTTGGTGTGCCATATCTCACAAAGACAACCTTTGTTGTCCCATAACTCACAAAGACAACCTTTGCTGTCCCATAACTCACAAAGACAACCTTTGCTGCCCCATAACTCACAAAGACACTATCACTGTTTTCCCCAGATGTTACATCACCCTGGCTCAGGCCCTGGGTATGGCCCTGGGAGGTGCCCCGGCCGGGCCCGCGGGGACAGGTAAGACAGAGACAACCAAGGACATGGGCCGGTGTCTGGGCAAGTACGTGGTCGTCTTCAACTGCTCTGACCAGATGGACTACAGAGGGCTGGGCAGAATCTACAAAGGTGGGTGCAGGGTTGCAGTTTGGAAAGGGATAGTGAGTGTTTGCGTATGAGTATGCAATTGTGTGTGTGTGTGTGTGTGTGTGTGTGTGTGTGTGTATGTGTGTGTGTGTGTTTGTGTGTGTTTTTTGTGTATGTTTGTTTGTGTGTGTGTGTCTGAATGTGTGTGTTTGTATGTGTGTGTGAGTGTGTATGTGTGTGTGAGTGTGTATGTGTGTGTGTGTGTGTGTGTGTGTGTGTGTGTGTGTGTGTGTGTGTGTTGTCTGGGCATGTACTTGGTCCTCTTCAACTGCTCTGACCAGATGGACGTATTATTGTTATTATTATCATTTTTATTACAATCATACACCGAAATGCAACTTAATCAAAACTAATTTTTCTCTCGTTGTTCTTAGGCTTGGCGCAGTCCGGCTCTTGGGGTTGCTTCGACGAGTTCAACCGTATCGAGCTGCCAGTGTTGTCCGTGGCAGCACAGCAGATTGCCATTGTCCTCCAGTGCAAGAAGGAGCGAAAGAACCAGTTCATTTTCACTGACGGCGACACGGTCGACCTGGACCCTGAATTTGGTCTGTTCTTGACAATGGTGAGTGATCAGTGTAGCCCCCCCCCACACCACGTCTGTTTGTAGTTTGTTTTACCGCAGATTCAGTTATCTGATTGTAAATTATTTTTTCACGATCCCACAACACCGTTGAAAGAGGTAGGTGGAAGAGGAACAAATGATGTTTGAAAGTGGAAAAGAGGAGTAAATTTAATCTTTAAAATAAAGACGAGGGTGGGGGGAGGAAGGAGTTTTAGTTTTTTTTTTCTTGACGTAGGTGTTTTACATAACATCGACGGAGCTTAAATAATTTAGGAGGTGGCCCTCCACCTTGCCTGTCAGGGTCAACCAGGGCTGGGAAGGATACAATGTCCCAGCAGAAAGACGGGGATGCTCGAAAATATTCACTTCACATGGGAATCGAACTCGTCTTCTACGTGTCACAAAGAAGTGTCTAACTGCTGCAGCACAAATGCTGGCAAAAAGGGATAGGGTGGGGGTAGAACGATTAAAAAGATATAAGTCCCAACATGGGAAAGGACAGAGATGTGACTGAAAAAGAAGGGAAGATCAGAACCATTTGACTGCTTTTGCCTACTGTCTAAGCACATACGTTTAACTGTGTCAGTGTGGGAATGAGGAAAATACACGTCAGAGGGGGACGAGGAGGAGGAGGAGGAGGAGGAGGAGGAGGAGGAGGAGGACTAGAAAAAGAAGAAGAAGAAGAAGAAGAAGAAGAAGAAGAAGAAGAAGAAGAAGAAGAAGAAGAAGAAGAAGAAGAAGAAGAAGAAGAAGAAGAAGAAGAAGAAGAAGAAGAAGAAGAAGAAAAAGAAGAGGAAGAAGAAGAAGAAGAAGAGGAAGAAGAAGAAGAAGAAAAAATATATGATTAAACACACACACTTATGCACACACACACACACACACCCACACACACACACACACACACACACACACATACCCCCCATATATATTATATATATATATATATATATATATATATATATATATATATATATATATATATATATATACATATATATATATACATATTTATATATATATATAACTTGTTTCTCTCTCCCACAACAGAACCCTGGTTACGCTGGACGCCAGGAGCTGCCCGAGAACTTGAAGATCAACTTCCGTACCGTGGCCATGATGGTGCCTGACAGGGCCATCATCATCCGAGTCAAGCTCGCCAGTTGCGGTTTCCTGCAGAACATCGTGCTGTCTAAGAAGTTCTTCACGCTGTACAAGTTGTGCGAGGAGCAGCTCTCTAAACAGGTTGGACTCTTAACTCTGAACAGATTGAGACATATGCACTCTAAACGGGATGAAACATAAGATTATAATCTCTAAACTTTTAAGTATAATAACTAAACAGGTTGAAACCTACAATTAACTCTAAAGAGGTTGGAACATATAAACACTAAATTGTAAACCGGTTGAAACGCAAAAGCTCTAAACAAGTTGAAATTTTATTGTTATAATCTCTAATATCCTAAACAAGTTGAAACATATAAACTGTAAACAGGTTGATCTCTAAACCCTAAACAGGTTGGAACTTGCAATCTCTGAATAGGTTTGGGCATATAATATTAATGATGATGATAATGATGATGGTGATGATAGTGATGATGATAATGATAATAACAACGATACAACTTGAAATCTGTGTAGCGCCAAATCTCTGGAATGCTCCAAGCGCGGTATATTACCGATTCAACTGACGAATCAAAAGACAGAAAATGTGCATTATGAGACCATTTATTAACAACAGCAACAGCAACAACAACAACAACAACAACAACAACAACAACAACAACAACAACAACAACAACAACAACGACAACAACAATACACACACAATCACACACACAACAACCAGACACACACACATTTAAACACACAAATATTACTGTCAGAGCGTTGAATAAATAAGTCAAGATATTGTGTTAGTGGATGGTTAGCAGGTGCTCTGGTGTAGTTTCCCCTTACTTTTCTATCAAGCATCCATTGTCCTTATATCTTCCTCTTTCTGTGTCTGTTACTCTCTTGAAACACTCCTAGAACTTCGGCAGTTGTGTAACCTAATTGTGTGGCTGTACAACTCTTACTAAAACAAAAAACAAGATTGCGTTTAATCATCTTATCTCAGATTTTATACTCATATGGGATAGAGCGCTCATGTATGAATGCAATCTATTATTATTATTATTATTAT